GTTTATGACTGTGTCATGACTAAATACGAGATAAGCAACATAAGTGCAAATAAGTCAATCAGCAGGTGCATATGAGATACATCTGATATAGCAAGATAAGAAAGCCAATCTCAACTTTTAACCTCTATTTAAAAGCAAGTAATCTACTTTTTCCTGAAGCTGTTTCAACTGTCCAAGATGAACGTAATTTGAAGCATAGTTAATAGACAGCTGAAAAGTGCTTGAACTCAGCTAGCTTACAAACTCAGCAAGAAAAGCTTAGTGATATCAGACCTACCACTACACAAGGTATTTAACTGTTTTTTCCGGTGATGGCGGCGCGCTAGAGCAGACTCACCTCCCGGACCTCCCAGGGGTGAAGCTGTGCTCCAGCCGAAGGAGGGGATCGCAGGTTCGTCACACCCCCCCCCCAGAGACACGGTTGAAGGGACTCTGGCCATGGAACTTCTGAGAGGTCGCCTCTTCGATGGCGGAATGCCGGAGAATTGAGGCACCTCTCCATTCCGATGGTTCTCCGTGCTGAGAGACCGAATGGACTTAAGCAACGCTAACCGGGGCAAGCGCAGGAGATTGAGCGTTTAAAACCAAAAGTAAACAAGGTCTGAGGACCGCTTATGAACGTGAGTCGTTTAAGCGTTGATTAAAGAGAAAAGAAAGCTCCCCACCCTAACTACGCAGTAGAGGATTAGGCGAGCGGGGGAGGGGCGCCTCCCGAGCACATGAACTTTTGAGTGAATGAGGGGGGGAGCAGAAGAATAAGCGGTTAAAACTGTTAAGAAGTACTTACCAAGGAGTGTTTGAGCGTTTAAGCGCATAGTCAGAGACTTTCAAAAAGTTTGCGAAAGTAAACAATCTGAGAAACATGGCGGGGAAGAGGCCGGAAAAGGAGAAACTTTTGAAAGCGAAAGGAATTGAGAGCCCAAAACCGGAAGGAACCAACGAGCTGGCAAAGACTTTGGCAGAATCCATGCGCCCCCTAATGGACCAGCTGAATAACTTCAAGGAACAGATGACCAAAGTGACTCAATGTATCACCGCTCAGCAAAACCAGAT